CGTTTTAATAATAATAAGCTTATTCGTGTAGCATTTTCAACAAAGTTAGAGAATTCTTTTGCCCGTAAAGTTGTTTCTTAAAGTTTATTACATATGGTTATTTCTCCTGATAAACTTGAATAACTTAATAAGAACAGCTCTTGCAGGATTGTTGTTTTAATTTCATGGGGTTTTGGTCAAATGCATACATCCCAAATAATAAAACACATAAGTATTCAATGTGACAGGTTTTAATTAAATCACCAGTTTGTTTATAAGAGTTGAGTTAAATGTCAAAAACTAATACGACACCAGGTAAAAGTGTTAATATCTTTTAAGGTAGTGAAGAGATACAAGACTTTATAACTATTCCTCCTTGCTGGAAGTGTCATCGTTCGAAGAGTGAAGGCAGAATTATGCACTCAAAATGAGACTTCTTAACTTAATATTCCCTTGGTAAGCACTCGCACCACTTTGACTTATCGATTTTTTATTTCTCCCATTATGTGACTTGACATCTGTATTCACTTATTTCTGTGCTACTTTTAGTAATAGTTTTGTTACCAGTAATCTCTTTCACTTTGTTTGAATAACCATCCCCGTTTATGCCTGAGTTACCCTTAAATTTCAGAATATTCATCTCTCCACAACATGCAGTGCCTCTCTTGGGATCACAAGGGATTATTCTAACTCCCTATATAGTGTGTACATCGTCCTTGTCAGATGTTTCGTCCTAGTTTGGAAATCTTCATCAGCATGCCTTACGATCCCACTGGGGTTCGAAGCCTGAACTTTCAGGTTATGAGGCTGGGCTCTTTGACCATTCAGCTACCTGGACCGGATCCAATACCGCATGAATTCAAACTTCTGTCATTTCTCGATTTTGGCGTGACCGCCATTAATCCGTGATCATCTTTGGAATAAATCAAATCGCCGCAAACAAACTCTTGAAAATTTTGTTGTCTGACAAAATAAACTGGCGATTCAGTTATTTTTTTTTGTTCCTTCACGTTCCCCAGTGGAACATAGGGCTTCAAGCTAGTGGCTTGAAGTTTCTGTAGCAGTGTTTATTTTTACAGGATGAGATTGCTAACCTCATGCCCAATCTTTCCTCTTTACCAGCATTATTTCTGGCTCAGCGAGGTAAAGGAGTGCGTCGGTCGGGGATCGAACCCTGAACCATGTGCATGGTCGGCGAGCGTCCTAACCACTATACCACCGACGCAATTCAGTTATAGTATATCTGAAGTATTTCACACTGATTACTTATGTATTTTACTATTCAGGTTGGATGCGTTTGAAGAAAACCCTATAAAATGAAATAAACTTGTCTTATGCTGCAAAAGCTGATTTCATCACGTCATTCGAGTTTAGAATTTATTGGTTACAGAATTTCATCATGAGCTTACATCGGTTAGAGAACCATTGGAAAACCTGGCAGTACTGGACAGCATGTCGGGTGTGAGGACAAATATTCGCCGAAGACATTGGCCAGCAATCGCGCCATGTCGTGAATTGGCAGAATTTGGAATTCATGAGCTAGCCGTTGGATCGGATCCCAGTGGCTTAGTGGTATACGAGCTCACCTTGTAACCAAAAGGTCCTGGGTTCGAACCTCAGTGGGCGCGTGCTGATGAGGAGCCCCAAACTAAGACGAAACAGCAGTTCAGTACTCCCAGGTTTTTCAGTGGTTCTATAACCGTTGTCAGCTCATGATGAAATTCTGTAACCAATTAATCAAATCCTTACAAACCAATACTTTAAAATTTATTGTTGGGTGCACTTGCTACTGTCACTAATCGTGTTATTTTCTCTAAATTACCAGAAAATAGAAAAATTTGGATTATTTTTTATACAGCAGGATAGCATGAGAGTAAATGTTCGTTTTTAGGAATATATTCAAATTGGATAGTTGCCTTCAAAAGTTTGTAACACCTCATATCGACAAACTCAAACAACCTAGGTTAACAAAGTTGTCTGCAATGAAAGTTTAATTTACCCAGAATTTTTACCCAAATGGATTGGCAAGTGCCTTTCGCCGTGGATCACATCTATTTACTCAACACAGGAGAACTCATGTAAATTCCAATTTCAGCGACGAACACTTCTTGATTTTTAAACTGCTTCAACAAAACTTATAGATTTTTAAGAGTTTCACTTCCCCTTGAATTTAAAGGTGTAGTGAAATCAAAATCATCCACAGCGAATACAAATAAGAAGTAACATATTTTGGATTTTCTTTATTGTTGCTTTTGTGTCTTCAAATTTTAATTTCCAAAATGCATTTAATGTGACTTACAAGATACATTTCAAACTCTGTTATACTGAAAATCTAGTCAATCAAAAATCACCTCTCCTCCCAGTACTGAAGTAACCATCTCCAAAAAGTTTGAAAGTCTCATTTCACATTTTTAAGGTGTAAAAAATATATTTTACATCTCACTTAGGTTTCAGTTGTCTAGTATATCTCTTTGAGCTATCGATAAATTCATGGCATAACCTTACTTCGATTCATAAACAGTTCAAAAACCTGTCTGAGATACTGGTTACTGTCATTTGAACTAACCCGCATTCTGTATAATGTAGACATCCGAAAATGACACCGTGTTATAAAAAAGTTAAAACTGTCTTCTTCATTTTACATTAAAGTGTACATTTTTGCAGTCAGACATGATTTATTCTTGTTCGTTAAACTGGCAATATTTTTGTTAATAGAGCACTAGAATAATTACTCTGATTTATTTTCATGTAAATTTCTGTCCTGCTCATTCAATAAGCCGGATTTTGATCAAAAGCACACTACTAATAGATTACAGATAGCTTAGATAGACTGTCTATAAGAATCACTTTAGATGAACAAGATGTACTTTGCATTACCGCACCAACCATTTCAAATTGCGTATCCAGGGTTAATGACAATCAAACCAGCGTATTTCTAATGTATTCCTGATTAAGTCTTGTCACTACAAAACTTTTTTCATACTTTCAGTTTAAATGTTTTTTATATACGCACTTATTTTCTAGATTTATACAACTTATGCTGTGAAATAATGTATTTAAAGATTATTCTGTTATAGTCATTCAAAATTAATGATGACTGAATTTAATTTTCATTTTGTAAGACACTTAAGTAATTTTATGTACAGTTGGAGGTAGGCGACTCAGTTACCGTGGTGATAACTTTTATCAACTAATTTACTATTTGCTGTGAGCTCAGCCTTGACATCATAGCTATTAGCAAAAGACTGTCGGAGGAAATAGCTGTCCCTATAAGTTTCATGACGAGTAATGACAGTAATTTTCAACTGATGTGTGAAGTTGACTTCATTTTATGATACCTCCCAGTTGTAAATACATTTGAAATTTAGCCATACAAGGTAATTAAAACTGATTTCGTGAAACATTTCTTTTTCGGTATTCACGAATTGAAATTTAATTAAGTTGACACATAGGATATACATATTAGCTTACCAATCCTTCAAATGATTAACCTTCCTTAAATAGCTGTTTATCCTTGATACTTATGATACTCTTATATCTGCTTTTGACAATCTGAGGGTTCTTTATTTTGCAAGTTTAAACATTTATCAAGTTTCTTTTATCTATTACATTCAATTCATTCAGGAGGTAGTAATATACAAAACTACATCGACGATGTTTAATTGCAAACTGAAACACGCTAGCGTTTCACCTGAAAGTATTTTACGTTACATGTACTGTAAGGACTCCTGTGATATTTTTCAAATTTATCTTTAAGTGATTCAGAAATTCCAGTGACAAAACCACTTCTTGTATTGAGTAATAAAAGGAGTTGAGGTGACACAATTTATACACTGACTACAGTGGTTTCTAAAGGATATAATAAAATGTGCAATAGTTAATGACACAATAGAAATAAGGGTTTGAAATATGGTAAGGTGGAAATTGTTATTTAATGGTAAGTAAGGTAGTGGAGTGACTACTCGATGTTGGTCTTTTATTTTCTTTACGACTCAATGGGAATTTTCAGCCTTTTGAAATGGAGCAGACAAACTTAGTTTATAGGCAGTCTATTTAATAAGAATAATTCTGTTACGCATAGTTTGTAACGATAAATAGTGATGGGGTTCACTCATCTATAGCTACCATACAACTGTTTATGTACATGTGTTACTTTGTTAATGAAATACTCAGTTGTAAGGCATGCAATCAAAAGAAAATTTAATTCACGTTTGAAAATATAAGTTTAAGGCAAAATCTTATGTACTCACAGTATAACGGATTTGAATATGCAAACATTACTCTAAAAAGTGGTTTCAGAAATCATCAAAAGCAAAAGATACATGAACATGTTGACTGAAAGAAGAAACTATTTCTTACATAACATTTAATTTAATGGTATGGTCAGTGAGTAAGAATATAAGAAGTATTTACCGAAAACGTATAGTAATCTATTACTGAGTTACCGAGGGGCAGCCTAATTTATGCAATGACTAAGAATTGGTTTCTAAATCTAAAAATGACGCAATCATCAATGACACAATGGAAGTAAAGGTTTAAAATTTGGTAAAAATGTTATGCTATGTGAAAAAAATGTAGCTGACTGTCCACTTAACAAAGGTAGAGTGGTTTAAAAAAAACAGAAAACTTGAGAAACTTATCAAGTTCATCCCACATATATAGTCCAAAAGGATTTTTCCATAAGAATGTTGTTCCGTTTATTTCCTGGATCCCATCTGATAATGAATTCTGATATATATATATATATATATATATATATATATATATATATATGAGGAAGAATAAATTAATGACTAGTCAACCTGGCACAGTGACATCCCAACCTAAATAAACGGTATAAGAAGATAATGAGACAAACAACAGGATTAAGTACTAGGACAATAATTCTTTTCACTTCATTCACAGCCAAATTGAGAAACACTCTACATGTTAGTCCCCACTGTTTTAAATAATGACCGTATTTCAGGTAAAGCACTTCCTGAAACTTTTCATAATCTATTCTGATAACGGTTTCTTTTCAGCCGATGGTGACTACTGATTCTCAGAAGGAGCCATCAGAAAATGAAGTGAACAATATATCGTCTGGCGAATATGAAAACGATAACCAACCTGGCTCACTTACAAAACCTAAACCCGTTTGTGGTATAGGTTTAGGTAATATATTCAGTGGTCAACCTATTCAGCTTAAACAAACAGCTTTGAAGGAAGTGGTGAAAGAAGTAAGTGACAACAAACAATATTCAAACATGTAATTTGCTGAAACTTTTCAGAAATGAATTACTCTTTGTTTTACTTTCTGGTGAGCAAAAAAAACATGACAGCCAGTGGTGAAAATTTTAAAGACTGAAACACTCGACGTTTTTGTTAAATTTCTCACATCGACTTTAAATTCTTGTTTTTATTTGCACCGGAATGTTATATGACGCAAATTATTATGTCTGGTTATTTCTTCATTAATCTTATAATCTCTGTGTCTCGTTATGAAGAGATTGCCGAAAGGGTATACTGTACTAGTCAAGGCACACATACGTCCGTGTCACAGCTTCTTGGGAGTTGTCATCTTAGGTGACCACAACCAGTAGTGTTTGTCACGGATCCCTACAGTCAATATTTTTATTTAATTTCATCAACAGTTTTCTAGTGAATTTGACTCTGGGTAACTTTAATGTCTCATAAATTGAATTGCTGCAGCAGGAAAGCGTTGTTGGTCCAGAGTATGAAGATGGTATAGTCTTTTTTACATCATGAGCGAAAATCTGCGTACATTTCTCCTGCGATTCATCCCTGCAGAACCCTTACAAACCAAACTATAGAAAACTAAATTAGCAGTATAATTATATGTATAGCTTTCTACTTTCGCAGTACTAATTCACCTTTGATTTGCAGGTAAAATTACAGCATGTTTTACACAAGAGTCTTTGAGTATGTTATGCAAGATTGATTCATTACCATGGTGATTTCATTATTGAACTTATTTTACATTTATATCACACTCAGTAAATATCTCATAAGTGTCGGTACTCAGATGCCGACAGCTTCCTAATATTATCCACGCTTCACTGCAAGGTTTGAGTTTGGATACTTTTCTGAGTGAAAGACGTTTTATTTGAAAATATTACCAAACAGTTTGCATCCCTTTATTTAACCCGACTAGCTGGGTGTCTGTTTATTCTAGCGTAAGGTATTTACTACTTTTGTTACAGCAAACTGTATTTCATATTCGGTGCTAATTGCTACTGAAAAGGATTTAAGCAAATATATCCATATGAAAAATTGGTGATAAACTAGTGTGTCTTATTGTTAAAGTGTTTTAGGCAAGAAAGACAATTTTTAATTTTTTCCTGATCACTTTCTAAGACTTCGAACATCCTCTCACTTATCATTAAAACTTTTTATGATAACTTCTCTTTGAATTGTTCAGTACTAAGTATTAAGATGATTTGTCAGAAAATGATAATTCAACCCAGTAAATACAATTACACATGTACAACACCAGTATTTGTACGGTACTTAAATAAAAGCGAAAGTTAGGTGAGAATGATTTAAACAGTAGGCATTTATTTTTGTGTTCGTGACAGATCTGTTAGGATTACTTTCTTGTGTTATTTGACTCTATTTTGAACTCCTAGACGAAATATCCATTTGGAAAGAAACTTTAGGTGGAGAAATATTAGTGTAGGCTGTACAGTTAGCAAGTTGTTTCCTGCGTGAAATTTCCGTTACTCAAAAGGAATACTAAAATGCTTAAGTTTCATGACACTCTGCTATGTGATCGGTTTCCCAGTTATTATTCACCTCTGAAAAATGTTTTCTGTAAGTGTACCAACAGACTTCTACACGTAGTTGTTCAGCAATTCTACCAAACATACAGCCCACTGTTGCTTAATCGCCAGATATGCATAATTTCGTCTTGGGTGGTTTTATTTCAGTGATTGAATTGATTCATCTTTGAGTTCTGAATAATTCAGTCCAGTGTGTTGTGGACACTTGTTCAGATGCTCAGGAAGTAATCAGAGTTATAGCATCTTTTTTCAGCTAAACAATCAAGAACTAAAATCTCTCAATATGGTGGAGTATAATTTTTTTTAAGTATCACTGTCTAAATAGTATTTATTTTAATCCAAAATGATAATTTTTATCAATTCACGAATTATTTTGTAAAACTAATTAGAAAAAATATAAAGTCCTATGACTAAATTAAACAAATGAACACTCTAGTCATGGTAGATACAGTTTTGAAAAGAATTTGAGCAGATCAAGCCTTCAGCAGACAGAGTTAACGATGTTTGTATTCATTTGAATAACTAATTTTGTTTAGCAAGATTTAACTTTCAAACTGTAGATTTGTTGCAGTAGGTTATTGTTTCTTAATTAACGACATTCGGCTGAACTGCTCAAGTTAACTTCGACACTAGTATGTATATTTACAAAATTATCTTGCTCTGATTACACTATGGGGATTTTTAATTTACTAGAATCATAAGCGTTGAAACAGTGGTTCACATGCTGGTGAATGCGGCTAATGGTGTATTATATATGTCAATATTTGTCTATATCATTGCACCTGTGTGCCCATATATGACAACCTAACAGACTCCGAGATTATGTTTCTGTTTTGAAACTTGGCTATTTAGGTAATTATTCACAACTTGTTGAAAAGAATAAAACCCAGTGAATTTAAAGACCAAATACTGATGACCTTAAGTTGTCAAATAGAAACCATAAAGACAAATCAACGTAAACCACTGGACAAAATAGGTATCGGTAAAAGTTTTCACATTTCAGTGGATCAATCGAACTGGGCAATTGATATCTTAACAAATGTGACCAGATTAAAAGCATGTGTGACAGACTCTTAGACAACATTGAAGAAAAAAATACAGAAAATGAAATCCTATTTACACAACTGGACTGAGTTGACTGAAGGAAATACTTGTAATTAAAACAAGATTTTGAGCGAACAATTGTTTCCGATAACTTCTTCTTCAGGCTCTACAGTTATAAATCCATGAATAATAAAGTACATATAGCCAATAAAGGCAAATGAAAATAATATCAGAAACTGTATTGGGGTGCATATGTAAGTTGAGATGATAGTCCATTAGTTAACATAATCAATCAAATGTGTATAGGATGTATAGTCAGAAAAATGTGATGAAGTGTGAATGAACAATTGGGTGATATAGTGCTGTTTTATAGTCAACAGAATACAAGTGTCATTGGGGTGAGAAAAATGCGATAGCCACAAAATACATACAAATACACATTAACAAAGGGGACACCGAATGTGAGGGCTGACCGATAATGTCTAATGATAAAATAAAGAGGCTAAATTGTAAATTGTAATAAGATGTTACAGAGTTGGTAGGCTTAGTGTAAAGTCACAAAGGTTGACAAAATTAAGGGTAACAATGAGGTGAAATAAACTGGGTGGAGAAATGGATAATAAAGACATGATATCACAGAATGATAATAATGGTAATAATAATAATACGGAAAATTATGATCCTGGTGACCTTATAGTGGGCCAGGGTAGACAGAGAGAGTGAATAAGTTTTTTCTGTACAGATAAGTCTGGTCTTTCTCTATTAATCTCTAAAGCCTCAGCTATGGCTAGGAGGCGTAATCGTGTGCCTTTGGGGAGATTGTTTGGTACTCGATACACAACTGTAAATGACTCTTCTACTTTGATGCTGTGTTCGTTATCCACTAGATGAGCCAGAATTGCACTACTTAATGATTTGGTCGCTCTCTCTTGTAATTGTCCTAATGACAGTGATATAAATTGCAAATCCAAGGTAAAATTATGGTAAGTAGATTGGTACTTCTATCGATGAGATAGTTGAACTGGTTGAAGGATTAGCTAATGCTAATGCTGCCAGTGACGGTAACAACTGAAGAGTTGTCCCAACTGAAAAACTGTTACTTGTTCATGGCTTATTGTCAGACACTGCACATACAAAATCATGGACTGGTAACTTCAATACACGGTCATCACTGACTGTACAAAACGTAGTGTTGTAAGAAATTTTTTTCCGGAGTCTGTCAGTAATTTGGGCACAGAGTCAGACGGATAAGCTGAATCCTGTTAAATTTGCATATTTTTCTGAGGAGATCCATTTTAAAAGTTAAACACCTCTTAGACATTTACTTCATCTTGATTCAGTTAGTGAAAGTGTAGATTATTTCATTTACTGTTTGACTGCTCCTATTATTAAATCATTCGTACCATTTGCAAAACATGCATTGTTCATAAGTAAGGAAAAGTAATCAAGCGATCTATCTGTAGATATTTATGGACAAGAATAAAGTGTTTATCTTCTTTGATTAAAAATTCATGTACAGCCGGCATTCAAGAGTTGGCGGGTCTCTTTAATTTCTCTTCTTGTTTGACTAGATGTGTTTTGATGCACTGCTGTATTGGTACAGTTTATGTACAGGAATATTATGATTTTGTCTTCTGTACTTCTGTAACTAATTTTGTGAACAGGATTAGTGACACCTTTTATGTGGAGTCCTGTTACTCTTTATTACTTATCTGTTTAATATTTATATCAGTAACTGAATCACTTTTCACTCTCCGACAGATCCTAGAACATAGACACACTTTTCGGCGTCCAACAATTGCCATATTTCTTGACTTGAAGGCGGCCTTCGATTCCGTGGATCGGAAGGTACTATGGCAATGTTTGACTGGGAAGGGAGCGCCAAGAAAGTACATTGCACTATTCAAGGCACTCTGCTCAAACTCCTGTAGCCGTGTAAGGGCTCATGGGGAATTGTCATCTGAATTGATAACAACCAGTGGTGTCCGTCAGGGATGTCCACTTTCCCCATTTTTGTTTAACTTCATCATAGATATGCTAATGGAAGTATCCTTAACTGAACTTAACGACTTAGGAATCGACTTGTCTTGTGGACTTAGAATATGCAGATAAGATAGTCCTGTTAGGGGAGGATGCTGACAAAATGCAGAGTCTTCTGAACACCTTGAGCAGCAATCTTCGTATGTTTGGCATGCGATTCGCCCCTGTAAAATGTAAGATGCTGCTACAGGACTGGACTACGTCAACTCCTAGCTTAGTGATAGGGAGTGAAGTGACAGAACATGTTGACCACTTCACCTACTTAGGAAGTTGTATCAGCACCAACGGACTGATTGGCAACGAAACCTCAGCACGGATCCAAAATGCTCGAGCTGCTTTCGCTAACTTACGCC